AAAAACAGGTTGACAGTAAATAATAAAAGATAATTATTGAACAAAAATAGTGGAATTGGCAGTATGAGTATAAAAAGAAAGTGGCAATAGAAAAGGTAGGAAAAATACCAATATTGCAATATATAGAATAAAACTATTTTAAAGAAGAGACTGTATCATAGCTGCTAGTCAGACATTACAGGAGATAACAAGAAAGGGATACTGGACTTACAAGCGTAAATTATAATATATGCCGCTATGGAATAAGTTTTGATTTCAGATAATCCACACATTTGAGAACAACGTACACCCACAGCATCATTATCTAACGATGAAAATTAAAAGTCCTAATCCAGTGGTACTGTGTATTTTTTAAAGAAGCACGCATGAATATGTACATAAGCCGCGTTAAATTGAAACGATCTATATAAGTTGCTTGGCCCTCGTAATCTAAAGGTCCTTTAATGATTAAGTGAATCATTTGTACCAGCTTTCATGCATACTCCTTTAAATAAACAAAAAATGTTTTCTATTTTCTTTTAATTGAGAGAAGCTATACAAAAATAATATTCAGCATCCATAACGTTTAAGAATTCATTAAGACGACAATTTTTATCTATTGAAATAAAAAAGCGTTTACAAACTAAATATCATAAATCTAACCTAGAGATGCGAGAGTGCTGATGAAAGTCATTGTCATGCTCAAATTTAGATCGCCTCCCAAAAGCATGGCCCATATGTTACTGGCCCCTCCTCCCGAGGAACAGCCGATGGTGAGAAGACCGAAACCGAACTCTTTTTGGATTGGAACCAAGAAAGCGACTGCGAAAGCCACCTGATAATTATGCAAATAAAAAATAAAAATAAGAGCTTAAGAGTCAGTTTAATCATATCAAGTAGCTTTTGCTAAATATCATACAATTGTAAGTAGGGACCGACCCGCGAAAAATGATAAAATGCGAAAATAAACAAGATATGAATGTTTAATTGTAATTTTTCTCAGCTTGTGTAGAGCTTGTTACTTAATGAATGCATGTTTATAGGATAAAAAATTAATCAAAAAGTTGTTAATAGGCGTAATTCTCCTTCATAATGTATTAAAGAATGAAACGATATATCAAATGAGATATATATTCCTGTTGTGGAAGTAGTAACAATGAGGTAAATATAGCCTTGCGCACAAAGCACAAACATCTGAATTATTTCTATT